AAAAAAAAATAAAATTACCGGGCAGAATTTTCTGTGTAACAGTCTCGAAAGGCTACCGAGTTTTAGTGTACTGGCAAAAATTGGGGATAATTATCTGCATGAATGCAAGTTTCTACCAGAAAAATTTAGCATATGAAAACTCCCTGAGTGTTATGAAAACTTTTGAAATTATTTGAAAAGCCTGGATAGAACATGTAGTTTTAAACTGACTGAATAAACGATGGTATTTTATATTCGCCCGATTTCTCATCCTTTTTCATTGCATTCAAATAGAGATTTGTGAGTGCTGGCAGTACTACACAGGTTGGTGGATTGGTGAGTGCGCCGACCAGGTTCATGAACGGTCCAAAGTCAGGAATCGAGAGAGCGCAAAACAACATGGTACCGAGAACGCCAGAGCGGATCAGCACACGATGCATTCCAAAAGCTAAAAAAAAAAAATATTTTTCTGGTTTTCACATTTCTGACATCTACATTTAAGAGACAGCTCATACTGGAAGTAAATTTTATTCGTGCTTTTGCAAAATGTAAAATGCAGTACAAATGCTCCAGCGAAGCACCGTATTACCATAATAATAAAAGAGTTTGGTGAAGGGAGAATCCTCTTTGAATCTAAATTGTATCCTTTTCATAAAACTGAATGAGAGCTGCCCGCGCAGGGAGGACAGTTTCAAAAAATAACAGTGTGGGGCATTGAAGAAGTGCTCGGCCTGCTGATTCAACGGATTTGCCATGATAATAAGTGCCAGAATACAGTGTACAGCGATTGCTAGATTAGCTGCATGCCGGATCATTGGTGTCTGCACGGAATCGATCACCGAACTTTGCATACTGCTACCGTACGTCAGGTAACCGTATATCGACAACGGCATGTACAGCAAGGCGACCACTAAAATTCAAATTACATAATTTTAGAAAAATGCAAAAGAAAACTAGTTCCAAACTGCAATTCGTAAGTAATTCAAGTCTGTGAATATGAACTAAGGAATTTTTTTCGGATGAATTTGCTCGTAAATTAACAAAATTTAATACATAACGGCAATTTTAAAAACGTCCACAAGCGCGAAGTGAAATTGAAACCAGAAACTGACTTCCAAAACCAAGGATAACTGATTTGGTGAATTCGTTCGGTCTGTACATGTCGTGCTGGATTGTTGGGAATACTTGATGCCCGCTGAATGCGAAAAGGAATGTTCCCAAGCTAACGATTGCGCCAGTAAGTGAAGCTTTCGGATAAAATGCCTCGAGCATGCATGCCTTCATGTCCATACTGATACCCAGGGCTATCAGGCCAACTGCTACGATCGTGCAGAGCATAGCTACGACGATAACTAACCTGAATTAAGCCTGGTGAGTGAACAAATGAGGTTACTTTCAAGCAGCTGTCATACATGTCTTAAATGCTTTCTGTTCGAGGTAAAATGCAGAGCAGTGGTTCTTGCTTCCTCGCTATGACGAAAAGGGAGGGTTGAAGAATTGGCTATATACAGCCAGGTAAACCACTGCTCCTCAAAATATCAAAGTTTAGCTGACCTACTGGCTTTTTGTTACACTTTTCTTAGGTGCGCTGAATGCCCGTACTACGAAGCTAACCCTTCATTAGAAATTCTTTGAATTCGTTTCTAGAAAAAACCTCAGCTTTGTTGTCAAGCAGTCTTTAAAAAGACAATCGGCTGTCTTTCCTCACATCGCTCTGACTGGGGACCCATACTTGTGGAATTGGCTTTTTTATAGGGCGAAATAAGGAGCCTGTAAGTTTTTTGCGCAAGTCTGATGCAAGTGAAGTCCACTTCTACGGTACCAAATGGTGCGTGCGTCAAAAAGGCAGAAGCGCAAGAAGTTTTGGGGCTGCGATCCTGACGGATATTCAAGGGTCTATGAACAAACGAACCAAAAATCAGCAGGTGATTTGAGATAGGTGAGTGGCATTATGGCTATTGTTACGGCGCATATTAAGTAGCAGAAGCTAATATTAATGCCAAAGATTGATGCCAGAAAGTGCTGGATGATTTTCGAAGACAATAAAATATAAACCACTGATGTACCGAACATCGTCAGGTAGACAATCCCTGCTGCTATGATCCTGAAAACTTTTTT